CAGACTAATTATAATACACCTCTTGTTTACGGCCTGACAAATATGTTTGTTCAAGGCCTATGAACTGATGGCCTGTTTATTTTTAATGGAGTGCTACAGTACACACACCTATGTTTTCAGCGGCCTTGGTTTCTGAACTATTTTTCCCCATGGGGATTTTTAAAAGGTATTTTTTGAGCTATGAGGAGAATCATTCACAAGTTACATTACTTTTTTTTTTTAAGCAAAACAGTATTAAAAATGTTGGACTGTGTATTTAACAGCTTTAATGATGGGAAAGAACTACAATCCCATGAAGCACTGTGAATGATAAAAAACAATGGAGAAATATAAAACTCGACTTAAAGATGACGATTATTAATATAGAAACAATAGATACATTTTACATTTAGGCTATCCCAAAATAGGCTATCCCAAAATATACACAAATATAGAAGGGTTTTTGATTGGAGGAGATTACTTTGCAGAATGACGGGTAACGTAGTTTTTCACCAGAAATGTAAACATGATAATAAGTTAAAATAATGCGTACTGACGGTTTCAACAAAACCTTATACCATTGATTAACAAACTCTTTAACAGTTTATGAGTTATTGTTAAAAATAAATTCCCCTATGGATAAAGTGAATAGGATTTTTATCTGATGCCTTATAGTATTTACATGAAATATGATGAAATCCAGGTTAATATATATATATATATATATATATATACACACACACACACACACACACACACACACACACACACACACACACACACACACACACACACACACACAGAGACAGAAAATTATAGAAATTATAGAACATAGGATTTTTATGTTCTCTTTTAACACAACTGAATGCAATATTGGCATTTTTTTTTGCAATTCTCATTAGATGAAAGATGAAAATTCTGTCATCATTTACTCACCTTCAAGCTGTTCCAAACCTGTATGAGTTATTTCTTATGCTGAACATAAAATAAGCTATTCTGAAGAACGTTGGTAACAAAACAGTTGCTGTTAGCCATTGACTTCCACAGTATGAAAAAAAAATACTATGGAAGTCAATGGCTACCAGCAACTCGTTGGTTCCCAGCATTCTTCAAATTATCTTCTTTTTTGTAAGAAAGAAAGAAACTCATAGATGTTTGGAACAAAATGAGGGTCAGTAAGTGCTGGCAGAATTTTAATTTTGGGGTGAACTATCCCTTTAAACAGGTTTTTCAAACACAAAAGAAAACATTTCAAGAAATGTCTCTGTGTTTTTTGTCCATACAATCAAATAAAATGGGCACCAAAATGGCTTGGTTACCAACATTCTTCTGCAGAGGAAAGAAAGTCTTACACATTTACTGAATTATGAAGAGGTGTGTTGCAACTGGTTGCAGTCCCCTTGATGGCGCAGAGCTTGATTTCTGCTGGCCCAGAGCATTTCCACAGTACTGAACCTTGCACAGTGCAGCTCGTCTTTCTGACTAAACAAGCGTTCACACCTGAATGCTGAAATAGGTCAGACTTTGATGCACTTCAGCATGACTGTGTGTGGGTGGGGACTGCAAAGGTAAACATTGCTTCTAAGAATTCAGCATACAAAATAAGCACATTTACGCCAAGCCTGAACCCCGGCGGCGTCTTTATGAGAAAGAGGAGGACATCAACATGAGCAAGTGATGGCACTGGCTGCTGCATGTGATCTGTGCGGAAAGCATGAGCATGAGCAGAGTCAAAAGATTTCCTGAAATCAACAGATGTTTATGAGATCTGTTCCCAACTTATAAAGGGGAGTGGCTGTGTGCAAAACCTCATTTGTGATTCCTGGCTATAACACCCTTATTGTAATATTTGCGATCTTAAAATACGCTTCATCACCCGTGACAGCTCCAGATGTCCATGACAAACCTCTTTTAACACACGTTTCGAAGCTCCTCACGGCGTCACTTGACCTGCAGTCATGTATGTGTCATATCTGATGCCGGTCTCTCATCTTTTTGGTTTGGCGATTCATGTTTTCATTTTCAGGCTTCGCCACAGGACAGGCATTATGACTGAATTATCGCAGATTTTCCTCAGGAACAGTGCATGTAAACGCATGATCAGTAACATGTTTTTTGTGTGGTTAATGCTAAAGCCTGATGCTGTCGTCACAGACACAGCTGGCTAGCATTAGCATTAGCATCAGGCCCGTGAAAACATCAGCCGTGATCCGCACCTCTGACATCGCTCGAGGGGTTCGTATCTAACGTTACTCTGCGCTATAGGATGAATGCTGGAAAATGACAGACAAATGAAAATGAAGCGCGTCTCACCTTGTAACGACAGAGCCGTGCAGAAGGACGCTAGCTGCTCTCACGTCCGTTCATTTCATGAAAACAAGACGAGCAGGCGAAAGTAATCAAACCCAGAGTGGCGGCTGGGAGAAGTTGAGCGCAGAGACAGTGATGGGTTTCTCAGCAGCAGAAGTCTTCTTCTTCTTCTTCTTCTTATTCGTTTTTTTATTGGCGGCTCGCAATCACCAATTGAGCATTACCGCCATCTACTGAAGCAATGGATCAGAGACTTGAATTCCCTTTTCCCAGACCTATCAGAACTCGAGCTTTCGATGTTGCTGCGTGTTCAGCTCCTCCATCTACAGCCCAAGTCCCTCGACAGTCCTGTTGGATGTTTCCCTATTATGTGCAATGTTGAATTCAGCCCTGTAGCAGCAGAAGTCGACATAGTTGGGTAAACTTCTATAGCAGTGAATGGGAGACTTCCTCAAATAGCTATATATTTTTTTTTGCATTTTTTCCGTTTGTTTAAATAGCAAAAGAACAACTCCATGATAGTGTTTTCATGACTTTATAATAATAATAATAACAAATAGAGATAGACTGATAATGGCAGTCAGTAGCGTTAACTAGTTTTGTTGTAATTTGATGCAAAGGTAAAATAATACAAAGTATAGTGTTATAAATGTACATACATTAAAAAAAGGGAATACAAAAAACTTTGCAGGATTTACAATGACTGTTGAAACGAGTCTTTACAGTCTTAAAGGGCCCATACAGTTAAATATAATTTAATGTAGTATTTTATTATTTTAACATTATTTCTGTCGTCTCACGTTTTCTTGGGGTGGATTACAATGAAACCAGGCTGAAAGTAACAATTTAATGAACTCACCAGACAATTATGATGAAGCATACATTTTGCTTACTAGAAAGAGCAAAGTCTATTTTTAGAATTTGACATTATTTTCATGTCAGTTAAAGGTGGAGTATGTATTTTTTTAAAAACGCTTTAGAAAACTGAGTCGGGCCGAGTACCAAAACAAACTTGTAGCCAATCAGCAGTAAGGGGCGTGTCTACTCGTGATGTAGCGGAGAGAGCGCTCAGTGCACAGGACGGACATTATTAGATGGCGGATAAAAAACAAAAGAGAAAAACGTCTACGGAACAAAAGAAGGCTTACGATAAGGCAAGAAGTAGGACCCGTGTAAATATCGGATCAGCTTTCTTTTCCAGCGCTGGAGAGAATTTAAGGAGCGGGAATGCCTGCGATCGGACGCCAAGGTTGCTTTGTTTCTTGTCGATAGGTGAGTAACATTGATTTTGCTTTGTTTCACAGAACTAATATATGCTGGCTTTTGCTTGAAAATGCTTGTGTGTCATAATCGTTGCCTGGGTTGCGTACGTATGTGTGGGGCGTGTTTGTTTTGGTGATTTGAAATATCAACATTGGCTACCAGAAATCACTTACCCCACCTTTAAGTACACCAATTTATGTTTTCATGGTAACACCAGCTCCTCTGATTGGTGGACTTCTCTTCAGGATTATGGGTAGTGTAGTTCTGCACTGGGAATTAAGCTATTAATCACACTTAACTCGGAACTCATGGCAGATATGTTTTATCGCTTAAAAACTATTTGTCTATGGAGAAAATGAATGGCTTTCTTGCTTGAATCTGATTCTTACACTTATTGTGTGATTCCTTACGTTCATTTTTCTACCAGATGTCTGTCTCCATCTCAAACATGAATCTGTGTAATTTGAAACTTGATTTGTACAGAAATGAAGTGCTCTTCAAAGGGTCAATAATTATGCATCAGAGATACAATTTAAAGGTATGGTATAGGAATAAATTAGCAAAGTAGTAACCAGTATAGCCAGATGAACATTTCTTCATATAGGCCATCTGCCTTGTTGTTTTGTGATATACGCTAGTAGATCTATGCTTCCCAAAGTGTGGGCAGCATCCCCTGGTGGGCTGCAAAGGTACTGCAGGTTGGTCCTGACCTAGGTTGCATCAAATTAAAATATTAAAATATTCTTTGTTCTCTCTCTCTCGCTCTCTCTATATATATATATATATATATAATATTTACACACACACACATATATATATATACAGTACATTTGATCTACGTATATCTATCTATCTAGCTATCAGCAAAAAATTCTGTGTGGATGATGATCTGAGGTATATGTGTGTGGTTATTGTTTTTAAGCACAATAGTAATGTTTGTTTTTACAATAATGTTGTCACAGACCTAACACAAAATCCTTACCATAATATAATATTGTCACGGGTGCACTGCTGAGCAGAGTCAGGAGCAAGGAACGGAGAGAGACGAGGAGTACATCAATCCAACTGGGTTTTAATGTACACAAAGGAACACGGAACACTCACGCAATACATGGAGACATGACATGAACATGACCTGAACAATACCGGACGCTGGAGCACACACAGGGAACCCTATTTATACACACAGGAGGAGGGGATGACGAGACACACCTGGGAGCAATGAAACAATCAAGGGAAACACCTGGGACAAATTAAACATGGGAAAGGAAGGCACATGAGGAAAACAACCACAAAACACGGAACAGAGTCTGACAAATATATAGCATTATTGAAAACTAAGTCTATTATTCCATTGTGTTAATTCTATGATGTGTTAATACATATTTAATGTACTTACACATACAAATTCAAATTAATAAGTCAAATATCCAAGACACAGATTGTGTATGCATTCAATTTTATTGAAGAAGGAAGATATCAACTGGCAGTGTTTTACCACCTCAAAATGTACATCAAAATCGAAACACTTAATCAGGATACAAAAATACACATCTCAGTGACCTCCATATTGTAATAAATAGTTAACCATGCATCTACGATAAAAAGGCACAGAAAACAGTCACTTAGTAGTCATAAAAATTACCTACTACTTACCAAAATCATCCAGATATCAATACAAGTGACTACCGTAACATTATATCCCAATAGTGAAAACACATACACATCAGTTGTTTAACCTTAATAAATATGCAAGTATTGTAAATATACCTATACATGTAGTCTTAAAAATGAAACTGTGCCATTGTGAACACAATGTAAACAAATGAAACTTGCATCACACTTCTCTTACTGGACATAAATCATGTCAAAGATATGTTACCTTGCTCTACAAATTCCTCAAATTAATTTGTTTTTGAAAAACCAGGCAGTTTACAGCTTTACGTTCGCCATAAGCCGAAGCCCACCGTCACTCATAGTCCAATGAAAAACACTCATGTGTTGGCTTGAGAACTGAACTGAGGTTCATGTGATCATGTGCACATGTGTTTAGTGTGGCAATGAGAGGAAGACTGCACTTGTGTGATTTGAGTCTGTTGTGAACAAATGAACTATACAGAGGCACCATATACAAGGTCGATCTGCTACAGCTGTCAAAAAGAGATCATGTTTATGGCCAATTAAACCGGGCTTCGGGGAGCTTTGTAGTGTTCTGGAAATGATCTTGTGTCTTTGGTAATGATTCTAGCTAGTTGGGGTAATCATCTTTTATAATGCGGTCACTCAGAAATGCATATCTGATAAGCATATATCAGTACATTCAGTCGTGTTTCGGAATGCGTGGACGTATGTGCACATAGGTTTTGATTTTATATAACCACAAACAGAACTGTTGCTATAAATGGCCCATTTGATTGTCGGATCAAATGTTTATCAGATTACAGTTTTTTTTTTTTCTGTCACCTATGAATAAGCCCAGATGCATTGATTTTGGAGAAAATATCTGTGAATGGGTTTTAAAAAGGTCAAATGTGTTATCCAGAGACTAAGTGGTAGATGAAAGCATTTAGCTGGCCAAAATATTTAATAAAGGAATACGCAAGTGAAAGGGAATGTGTAAAACTTGATGCGCATCCCAATCTGCAGAGGTTTTCGCGGAGTTCTGCTGGCGCAGATTTCATGTGGGCCAGCTGATGGATTAAACAGCCAACCTGAAATGCCTACAGGCAGATGCTGAAACCTCAGCAGATACTCACTAATGAGAAAAGACGGGAAGTGAGATACATTTAGTTGTCAATTAAACTGCAATGGACAAATTGCTGATAAAAGCAGGCCGCACTGTTGTCTTTATTATGGACGCCAGTGGTTCTCATCTGCTAGAATGCCATTAACTGTATAATTGTGTGTAGTTAGGATAGACATATAAAAAGGCTTATCAACTTTTAAAAGAGAGGAGAAAATGTTTTCCTCATCTTTCAATTTGTACGTCCAGCATTATGCGTCCAATCAAACTGGAGGGTATTAAGTTCGTCTTTCATTTGGTGGAGGCTAGACAATGTCAATATGGACAAGGCCAAACTACATTAAATACGGGTTCACTTACAACAAGAATAAACATGGTTTGTGCAGACCACAATGTGTTTTATGTGGTGAATTATTGGCTGCCGAGAGCATAAAACCATCAAAACTCAACTGACATTTAGAAACCAAACACACAAGCTATAAAAAGTGTAAATCACACTTCTACTGTTTGCGCATTCACAATATTGTCAATGTTCTATGCAGTTCATGATAATATTAATGACTTTTAAGGACATTTTCTTATTCCTTTGTGTACAATAAACTATTCGGCCCTGCGTTTGGCGCCATGTGAAGCTGAAGGCGAAATTCGGATCCTGGAGCAAAACCAGTTGTAATCTATAATTGATTAATGAATGCTGTCATGAATTAAGTCTCATTTTTAGTCCCATCATTTGATAAGAATGCCTAAACTCTCACCAAACTCTTCAAATGTGTATTTTTCTTTTTAAAAACATCCTGCTCGGTTCCACCCAACAGACCAAATCCAGTCCTCCAGGGACTCCATATTTGTTTGAATTCTCAGTTCAGGTAAATTGTGGGTAGGATAGCATTTCTTGTTTGGGAACACCACATCTTTTTCGACACTACTCTCTTTCGCTCTGTATATATATCAAGTACTACTCTGATGTTATCGAACACCCTCTAGAGGAACATTATAATATAACATCAACAAAAATCCACTGTTATGAGTCCTACATGCACTGATGGTCGGGTTGGCTTATGTAGAACTACGTGTAGCTCCGAGCTCGAAATTTTCCATTTTACGGAAAAAATAGAGGCACAACAGTTTTATAGTCGGTGTGAGGAAACATCCAGCCATCTAGCAAATTATCCTGGAAGCACGGTTAGACAGGATCAACAATTTGCTTATGGAAGATTTATTAATTTTGGAGAGAACATGGCATGATTTGTCTGACCCAAAGTCCGCCTTAATCCAAAACCGAAAAAAGAGGAGTGTGTAAAGTTTATCTTTTTAGTTTTCCATGGAAAAACCTCACATAATAAAGCTTCATAGAGAAGAACTGTATCAAAATAAATACAATATTGCACCTTCCATAGAGTACAACTGCACTTAACGTGTAAAGGCGATTACTAAACAGAATAATTCAAAAAGGTGTTATGGTGCTCTATACACAAATAAATGTCTCATCTGATAATATCATGTAAGCGTTCTATTATACAAAGTCTTTACTCATAACTGGAGTTAACAGTTTAGACTTTTTAAACGTATATATATACAGTGCATATATTAACAAACAAACAATCTCTTATACCCTGTAATGCCATCAACCAAATGTAGAGGATCCTATCAAACTTGCACTGGGTTCCTGAACTCAGTAAATATCAACTATGTAATGTTGCAGGTCAACTGCAATTTCTTATTCAAAACAATAGAAGTCCTATTTCAACTAATGTATAATAATAAGTTTTAAGCTACAAAGAGTCGCCGTGTCCATGTTTTTCTGAACTACTTCAGATTTGACCATTTGCGATGAATATCTCAAATATTTAAGGGGGAAAACTAAACTTGAAATGTTTTAAAGAACATAAACCAGGGGACATTCGCTTTGGTACTTATTTCACTGACTTACATAACGTCCTACTGTAAGATTAAAACATTTCTTACCAATAAAGTTCATCTGACAATAAATATGGCACATGACACTGCTTTGACACGAGGTTTCCATGCAGACAGATAAATAGAAATAAATCAGCAGTCTACTTAGACCAAAGGGATGCTTCAGTAGTAACAAATGGCATTATACTAAATTCATATAAAACTTGTTCAAGTGTAAATTTGTACAATAAAAAACAAGACGCAGATCATGCAGTAAAACAGCTATCCAAATATAGCAAGCATACCATGCATCAGTATGTCACTGGCGAAGGAAACCCCTTTTGACCTTTCCTGGACTGCACCGCCGCACTACTATGATTGCGATACTCCAGCAGTCTTTTTCCCGTCTCCTTAAAATGTAAACAGTGCTGTCAAAAGCAGAATATTGCTGACACATCACATCGCCCTCCTATTGTTGCCATCTACCGCAAGGTAAAGAGCCAGTGAGCTACTCAGAGGCCGTGTGCTCCTCTCCTCTCCTCTCGGTTTGGAAGTCCTGTTCTGCTACTTGATTTGGAATCTGTAATAGAGGCCAGAGGTCACGTGCACGATGAGTATTGCATACCTGATTGTGCCGTCGATGCGATAAGGGAGGAATGGCTTTCCTATGGGTCTAAAAGTCATGGGACACAATCCTTGTTTTTTTGGCATCAGCACTTGCTCGAAAACAAACATCCCTAGCTTTTCTACAAGCTATTCCTACAGAGATCCAGCTCCCGCTGCAACTCCTCTTCTCTCACGAACGGAATGTATGTTGACGTCTCTCACAGGTCCACCATCGAACTCTTGGCCAAGTCCTTAGTTCCCTGGAGAATTCTCTTCATATGACCCACCTTCGAGATCCCCAGATCCTAGAGGAATCAGACAAACAGAAGTACACTCAGAATGAGGCGTTTCCAGAGCTCACACCTTCAGGAGTTCAGCTCACGTAAAAAAGTTACGTATAAATCGTTGCATTTTTTTTACTTGTTGCATTGAACTACTTTTTGATTCTGTTGGATTTTTGTTTTGTGGAATAAAACATTTTTTATTGCACTATTGATATCAGAGAATTCTCTTCATATGACCCACCTTCGAGATCCCCAGATCCTAGAGGAATCAGACAAACAGAAGTGCACTCAGAATGAGGCGTTTCCAGAGCTCACACCTTCAGGAGTTCAGCTCACATAAAAAAGTTACGTATAAATCGTTGCATTTTTTTTACTTGTTGCATTGAACTACTTTTTGATTCTGTTGGATTTTTGTTTTGTGGAATAAAACATTTTTTATTGCACTATTGATATCATAAACCGACTAAGCTGCAGTTTAACCCAAGTTTAAACTGATTTTTCAAAGCACAGTTTCAAAACAATAAGATTTTGGTAACACTTTATTATAGTATCTTTGCTACACACAAATACTTAGTACAGTAATAACAGCAAATTCTGCATAATTACAAGCAACCAATCCTAAACCACCTTACCCTAACCCTAAAGCTATAGTAAGTCCAGGTTTTAATTAATATTACTCGGCACTGATTTGTTTAACTACATTGTAACAGGGATACCTTAAAATAAAGTTCAAGGTCAAATGCAATTAAAAAAATTAAAACAAATATTAAAATAGCATTTAAATATTTTATGTTCCAAGCAATATAATTTGATTGCAGAAAATGTTGTGTTTGTATTTTCCTTTAGACATTATTACCATTTTTTTTGTGTTAATTTCGTTAACGAAGACTATGACGAAAAGTGTTCGTTGACGAGCTTTTTTTCCATGCATTACCGCCATCTATCTCTCAAGTGGACCATTGACACTCCTAATTGAGATTGTAGATAGAGTGTCAATGGTCCACTTGAGAGATAGGTGGCGGTAATGCACTTATAAGTCTGTGATCCGCCGTAAAGCAAGAAGAAGAAGAAGACGCCTCACGTGCCGGCTGTTGAGAACGCGCTCAGGAGGATGCGCCGCCGCTCAGGAGAGTTCGAACAGTTCGGACATTGCGTGAATCAGAGGTAAAAAACTATATAAATACTGTTCAGTTTCTTGCACAGACCGATCGTTTCGTGTCTTTACACATCAATGCATCGTCACGAGCCGAAGGTTTTAATTTGGTTTTGTTTGTGTATATTTATTTTTACTCTCAAAGCCGTGATTCCCATTCACTTCCATTATATGACTGACAGACTGCAACAGTTTGAGTTAAAAATCTCCGTTTGTGTTCTACTGAAGAAACAAAGTCACCTACATCTTGGATGCCCTGGGGGTAAGCAGATAAACATCAAATTTTAATTTTTGGGTGAACTATCCGTTTAAATGGTCATTTTCAAACAAAAATACTTGCATTTCTTAAAGGGTAATGACAAATTTCATTCATTACAATGTCAGTAGTATATGTAAATGAACAATGTGTACTATTTCTCCGTGTTACACTCACACTGAGGTATTCCATTTATTTGTTAGCAAAAGGATGAATTATGTAAAACGCCTCATTTTGCATCATCTGCTGGACTTCTGATAGATCTGGGCCTTTTGTGAAAAGTATAGGCTAGATCGTTTTTCCAGATTTATCCCTACTCACACAGTCGGATCAAAGTCCAGTGCGTTATGGGTATTGAAGCGAACAATACAGTTACACCTTTAAGTAAAATATATGCTACGTGAACATGGAGTCTTGAATGTGTGTTGAAGTATTAACAATACAATTAAGCACAGTCAGAGCCAGGAACTTCCATATAATTTTAAATTGACAATCAGTCAAATTGTCAATTTAAAATGATTATCGAAATTCCTGACTCCCATGTCTCCCCAAAATATAATGAAACCATCTAGGTCGTAGGTTTGAGATAAGGCCACAGAAAAAGTGACATCTAGTGGCAGTCAGGCTAATCTAAACGAGGCATTACACAGATACAGATTCATTTTGTTAAAGTAAGTTTCAATTTAAACTATTTATGTACTATATTTGCTATTCATTTAATTATATATCACCATTATATCGGTCGTCGTCCACTCTGCTCTCTAGATATTTCTATCAGCATCAGCCATTACAACACCAATATCAGTTGATCAATAGGAAACACAATAACCCAGGTTAACCTCGGGTTAAAACAATGCAGCTGATCCAGTGACAGCAAATGTCACAATACCGCTGAATTTGAGCTTGACTGGTTTACAGCTGAAACACTCAGATCTATTTATGTCCCAATTAAGTTTTCAAAAAATGTTTGAGGACATCCCTAGAGACAGAATAAGGTTAGACCAGCTAAATGGCAGGGATGTTTGAAATGGGGGGACAAAACAGAGGCGTAAAATGGCACAGTCCAAGGTTCACTAGTGCTTGTGATAAGTGTGACCAGAGCACCTCACACATAGACATTCAGCACTACACAACACTGAGCTGCTTTCACCAACACTTTATGTAATTATTCACTGGGAGGTGTGACTCATGAGGATTTATAATACATTTATTGAATGTATTATGACATATTTATTTCTGCATCAAGTGCACATGAAAGCATCACTGAGTTTCTGGTGAGGACGTTTATAGTGCTCCATCACTGTGCTAAATTGTATAATATATTGGACCATTCAAGTGATGATCCTAGACAGATTTATCGTTTAAAATAGCTCAACTATACAGCTATAACCGGTAAAACATTGTAAATGAGGCCCTGTTTACATCTCATAATTGCATCTCAGGACTCAAACTTCATGTGGAGAAAAGTACATGACAGCATTGCATTTGTAGTGTAATTATATTATATTATATTATTAGTTCTCAATTGGTTTTGCTGGCGTTTTCTCCTCTCTTAAAAAGTTGATATTTTCCTATAATAACAATGCATTGTTATATGATTTTTTAATTTGCATTTCAGACCAGACCTGTGACTGTTTGTGTCACGAGACACCAGTTGAGAACGACTGTCAAATGCAGTGACACAAATAATGAGTTTAGTGAATAAATGAGTGAAACACATGTGAAACACATCTGAAATTAATATAATACAGTTTCTCGACGAAAATAATGCATACAGCTTGAAACGTCACAATTATGGCAAAAATGTGCCAACATTTCAGTACTTGTTTTTACTTTATACCGCCTTGTCAACATGCAGAAACACTGTGACATAGTTAGTGACACTGTTGAGCAAAAGTTTGGGGTCAGTAAGACATTTTTAAAGAAATTAATATATTTATTCAGCAAGGATGCATTAACTTGACATTGACAGTAAAGACATTTATGATGATTTCTGATTCAAATAAAACAACCCTGATAAAAGTACCATGGTTTCCACAAAAATATTACAGTGTTTTCAACACTGATAATAATAATAAATGTTTCTTAAGCAGCATATTAGAATGATTTCTGAAGGATCATGTGACACTGAAGATTGGAGAAATGATGCTTAAAATTCAGCTTTGAAAATCACAGGAATAAATTACATTTCAAAATATATTTAAATATAAAACAGTTATTTAAAATTATGTAATAATGTTTCACAATATTACTGTTTTTATTGTTTTGTTTTTTTGGATCAAATAAACGCAGACTTGGTGAGCAGAAGAGACTTCTTTTAAAAAACATTTAAAAAAATCTTACAGACCCCAAACTTTTGAACGGTATTGTAAGTAGTCAAGAAATTCGAGATCTTCCCCTTACGATCACTTCTGATGAGATCACCTGAAACGGATGTTCATACCAAGTGTAAACAGGGCCTGATTTGTTCAAAGCGTTCCCCGAATCACACACACATAAACATGTTGACTGTACTCATGAGCTACACAAACAGAGGCATGTCAGTGTGGAGCTGCCCATCACACCACCGCATCTTCAGAGCCCCGCTAGCGTCTTTCAAGCCTAGCCCACTTAAAATAACCCTACGTGCATCAGGCGGTTAGTTGTGTAAGTATTCGGAGACCCGAAGGACACTTGCACAAAGGAAGCCAAGCAGAGCAGTGCAGCACATAATAGCAAACAGGGTGACAGGTAAAATGACAGAGAGAGAGAGAGAGAGAGAGAGTCAAAGAGCGAGATGGACAGAGAAAGAGCATTTCGGTTGATCTGAGGGACATCGTGAGGCACAGAAAGGGGTTGTGTGTATACCTTGAGGTCTCTCCTCTCCAGGTGCAGGAGCTCGGAGCCGCGGATGTCGTGGCGGATGAAGGTCTCTTTGTATTCTCCCAAGCTGAGCTGCTCCAGCCAGGTGGCCACCTCCTCAGTGCCCCACCTCTGAACTACACAAGTACAGAGCGAGAAGCCCCCTTCAGTGTCCAACCCCCGTACACTCACAGGACACAAGCAAACAGGGTCAGGCCGAGAGGAGGAACAAGTCAAAAACAACCACAAAAGGAAAAGGTGACCAAAATCAAATCAAACAGGAAAAAGAAGACACAGAGAAAAGTGGCGGCAGCAGCTGGCAAAGAGAGGGTTAAACAGGTTCGGTTTGGTCACTGGCACACCCAGAGGCGTTTCTGGCATGCAGGTTATCACAGTGGCACGTCCACCATCATCCCATTAAGAGCAGACACAGAGACAGAGAGGAGGAGGAGGAGGAGGGAATGGGAGGCTGAAGCCTGTGCGACCTAACGCTCCTGTGCTCGGATAGTCCGCAGGCAGGATGAAAATACACTGCGCTCTGTTGTTGTTGATGGCATGTTAAATCCCCGTAGCAGACGGACACGTCAAAGCCAGGGCCAAACTACGTTCAATTTAAGAGTGTGGACGCGTGCAAATTTGCCCTGGATAACTACGCCTGAAAATGTCAAAGAATATGATGGATTATATTTTTTAAACAAGTAGAGAGTCTACTTTGATTACCTTGCAATCCTTTTTGGAAAGAATGTACCAAGTATGCACTATCCTCAGAAATCTGGACTGTTTCAACAAGGATTAAAGGTGATGTGTGTAATTAATTTTTTTATGTGCAGACAACTCCAGAAAGAATTAGACGCTCAAGGTTAGTGCCATTAAATCTGCACTAATAAATAATAAATAATCTGCACTAATATATTTGTATTATTGTTATTATTATTACTATTATTTATAATTAATTAGTTAATTCATTGCTAATAATAATAATAATAATAATATTAAATTATTTTTGTCACCAGCTAATATGAAATCAAGAAAAACACTAAAAACACATAAAAATGAAATTTCTTGGGTACATTAAGTGTATTATTATTATTTTTATTATTACTACTACTATTATTAAGGATAATATTAATGTGTAAAATACACATTAATAATAATAATAATAATGTTTAAAATATACAGTACATTTTATTATTATTTTTAATTCATTCAATAATACATTTTTGCCCATTTTTGGGAGGCTAAAAAAATATTTGAGTTTTTTTACCATTATGAAATAAAAAACAAAACAAAATGTTACCCTGGACCACAAAACCAGTCATAAGGGACAATTTTTTTGAAATTGAGATTTATACATTAAATGAGCTTTCCATTGATGTATGGTTTGTTAGGATAGGACAATATTTGGCCGAGATACAACTATTTGAAAATCTGTAATCTGAGGGTGCAAAGAAAATCAAAATACTGAGAAAATGCCCTTTAAAGTTGTCCAAATTAAGTTCTTAGCAATGCATATTATTAATAAAAAATCAGGTTTTGATATATTTACGATAGGAAATTTACAAAATATCTTCATGGAACGGTGTGGCAGAGTCTTAACTTTGATAATGAATATCTCTTTAGTCTTTGCAACTTCAGGGATCTTATCTATTCACGAACAGCTTGTAACACTCCAAAGAGAAAGGAAAACTTGAAATCGCATCATATGACCCCTTTAATAATGATTTTTGGCATAAAAGTTAAATCGATCATTTTGACCCATACAATGTAATGTTGGCTATTGCTACAAATATACCCGTGCAACTTAAGACAGGTTTTGTGGTCCAGGGTCACAAATGATCTTGGGCATGTGTCAGTCAGACAGTCTCTGCAGTATAAACCAGACTTTATGAAGAAAGTCTGGCTACAAAAGACTATTATAAACACTGTGGCACTTTCCAAACATAGTTCCGTTTGTTTGAGTGGCTCAATATGTCAATGTCTGCTTCAACTGGACTATGGGTTTGGCGGGAGTCTGGGCGGAAGGAGTGTTTGGGACACCTGTTTGGAAAACAATCCTTATTTCACACATTTCTGTCCACTCACTGCTGCCAGTGACAGGAATTACACACTTCACCTTTAAGCGTTACATGTGTAGCACATGTGCAGAATGACATGTTTGGGTTTGAATGAGTGGTTTGTGTTGTTCCCCTTCTGTGCGGTACACCTTGTTTTGTGCCTGCTGTTCATGTGTAGACACATGGACTGTTTCTGACTCACAGGACAACACCATGACCAGAGGAGTGCAGGGGTGCTCATGGGTGGTTGGGTTGGACTGAGGACCACTGGACATGAACAGAGAGTCCTCTCAGAAGAGGATGTACAGCATGTATGGCGCTCTATATCATCATGTCACTGCCTCCATGGGCCATCACTTCCTTTAACAGTTCCCCACATTGTCAGCAATCATGAACAATTATTGTTTGAAAAAAATAAAAATAAAAAACAAGTTCAGTCTCAGTGTCCTGCTTTTGCATCTTTTCCAATCAAAACAGCAAAACGTGACACTACAACACTTTTGCATGACTATGAATGCAACAAAGTGTGAGGCATCCATGATTTTAGTGTCCATCTCTTGTGAGGATATTCAAGTATATGTGGACACACACACACACACACACACACACACACATACACACACACTTACCTGACTGTGGGCTGGACTTCTTTGGGGCTTTCTCTTTCTTGAACTTTGGCACTATGCGAAACATGCCACTCCGACTGTTTCTTTTTCCGTACTCAAGCGAGTTATCCTGTCTCAGACAAAATGACCTGTCAGTCTCAGAGGCTCAGATATTGAAAAATAATAATAATAAAATCTCACAAGGGCTGAATTTATTTGAACAAAAATCCAGTAAAAACAGTGATATTGTGTACAAATATTTTTAATATTTAAAATAACAGTTTTCTACTTGAATATAGTTTAAATGTAATTTATTCCTGTGATCAAAGCTGAATGTTCAGCATCATTACTCCAGTCTTCAGTGTCACATGATCCTTCAGAAATCATTCTAATATGCTGATTTGCTCGATATATTTGTGAAAACCGTGATACACAATTTATTTATTTATTTTTAGTATTTTTTAATAAATAGAAAGTTCAAACAGAACAGCATTTATTTCAAATAGAAATCTTTTGTAACATTATCAATGGCTTACTGACCCCATACTGGCATTATTTTGTTATCGTTGAGATATACTATTGTAGATTTTATTGATATTTTCAATTAGTTTTAATATTTATATTTTCCATTTTAATTTAAATTTTAAAGGTTTAGTAATTTTCTTGTGTTTTTTGTATTTTTTTTTAATAGGTCTATATAATAATTTTTATTTCAGTTTTAGTTATTTTAGTATATTAAGTTAAACTAAATAAAAATGATAAATGTCTCCCTGGCTATTAGTTTTTTAATATATTTTATTAACATTTATTTTATTTAAGTAACAAAAATTATTTTTAATGGTTTTAGTTTCAGTTAACTATATTAACTCTGCCCCATACATTTGAATGGTAGTTTATGTATACATATTAGAGTAGTTGACATTTTGGAAAGTAGATATTTTCAAAACAACAAAAGATTTTCTTTACAAAAGAAGATATTAAAAAGAACGTCAAGAGTTCGAACATCATTGACTTTCACTGTATGGTAAAAACTATGTTCCATTGTGTTTCACAGAAGAAAAAAAAAGGTTACACAGGTTTGTAATGAAATGAGGGTGAATAAATGATGCCACAATGTCCATTTTTGAAAACTATCCCTGTAGGGAACAAGCTTAGGTAGATAGCTAACTAACATGGTTTCTCTGTATATATCTAGGCACATTCCTTCTGCTGCTCACCTCCTCGTCATTGGGCTGTAAGATGTGGTAGAGCCAGGGGCTCTCAGCCAGCTTGCCCAGTTCAACCTCAACGCTCTGCAGGGCACTGGACAGCAGCTCTTCATGCGGAGGGTCCAGTTGCTACAGAAATAAACTCAAAGACTGAGTCAATGATGACAGAGAGATCTTTCAGAGCCATCACTGCTCACAAGACAAGCTGGCATCTCACTCCATTTCATGGCTTTGTGTTGGTCTAACTGGTGACATTGGTGAGCAAGTGATGTAATGCTAAATTCCTCAACTCAAACTCAGATCTACATCTTGGATGGCCTGAGGGTGAGTACATGATTTCATTTCTGGGTGAACTATTCCTTTAAGAATAAGCTTTGTATCAGATGCTTCTCCTAAAATGCCTTCATATGCCTAGATATAAATATAAGAAACGGACGCAAGACTCCATTTGCTCTGCATCTCAGTGTTTAAGTTTAAGAGAAACAATGGAGATGTTAAAAATATCTCATTTGGGATTATTCTTTCTTATGGAAACCTGCACCATTAACATTTATGCCTTGGAAAAGGTGAGTGAAAATGATCTTAAAGGCACTAAATCAACTCACCAATGGCACTCGTCCTACTAGCAGCGACTCGGTCTCATTGTGCAGGGCCTTCACGGTGCTGGCCACCTCAATGGCAGTGTTTCTTGTCAGGCTCTGAGGAGAACAGATGAATCAGACGTGAGAATTTACTCATAACTATGTGACTTATTTGAACTATGAGGACCACAGAGCAGTAAACACACCATTAATTTTCTCAAAAGAGCCACAGATTTTCATACAAAACTATCATTAGCTCTGAGGTTGATTAAGCGATTATATGTGCTTTGGGGGGAAAAAATCAGTATAGAAGTATGAACTCTTTCACACCAAACCCAAATTATAATTGTGTGATGAAGTAGAAGTGACAAAGTCGATTTTTGTATTTATATGGAGGCCGATCAACTCCTTCAGAGAATGATGAAAATTCATAAAACATCAGTGGCACTGGTGTGAACAGTCCTTGAGTGCTGGCATTGCTCACCTCGGGGAACTTGGGGTTTTTTAATAAATAGAAAGTTCAAACAGAACAGCATTTATTTCAAATAGAAATCTTTTGTAACATTATCAATGGCTTACTGACCCCATACTGGCATTATTTTGTTATCGTTGAGATATACTATTGTAGATTTTATTGATATTTTCAATTAGTTTTAATATTTATATTTTCCATTTTAATTTAAATTTTAAAGGTTTAGTAATTTTCTTGTGTTTTTTGTATTTTTTTTTAATAGGTCTATATAATAATTTTTATTTCAGTTTTAGTTATTTTAGTATATTAAGTTAAACTAAATAAAAATGATAAATGTCTCCCTGGCTATTAGTTTTTTAATATATTTTATTAACATTTATTTTATTTAAGTAACAAAAATTATTTTTAATGGTTTTAGTTTCAGTTAACTATATTAACTCTGCCCCATACATTTGAATGGTAGTTTATGTATACATATTAGAGTAGTTGACATTTTGGAAAGTAGATATTTTCAAAACAACAAAAGATTTTCTTTACAAAAGAAGATATTAGAAAGAACGTCAAGAGTTCGAACATCATTGACTTTCACTGTATGGTAAAAACTATGTTCCATTGTGTTTCACAGAAGAAAAAAAAAGGTTACACAGGTTTGTAATGAAATGAGGGTGAATAAATGATGCCACAATGTCCATTTTTGAAAACTATCCCTGTAGGGAACAAGCTTAGGTAGATAGCTAACTAACATGGTTTCTCTGTATATATCTAGGCACATTCCTTCTGCTGCTCACCTCCTCGTCATTGGGCTGTAAGATGTGGTAGAGCCAGGGGCTCTCAGCCAGCTTGCCCAGTTCAACCTCAACGCTCTGCAGGGCACTGGACAGCAGCTCTTCATGCGGAGGGTCCAGTTGCTACAGAAATAAACTCAAAGACTGAGTCAATGATGACAGAGAGATCTTTCAGAGCCATCACTGCTCACAAGACAAGCTGGCATCTCACTCCATTTCATGGCTTTGTGTTGGTCTAACTGGTGACATTGGTGAGCAAGTGATGTAATGCTAAATTCCTCAACTCAAACTCAGATCTACATCTTGGATGGCCTGAGGGTGAGTACATGATTTCATTTCTGGGTGAACTATTCCTTTAAGAATAAGCTTTGTATCAGATGCTTCTCCTAAAATGCCTTCATATGCCTAGATATAAATATAAGAAACGGACGCAAGACTCCATTTGCTCTGCATCTCAGTGTTTAAGTTTAAGAGAAACAATGGAGATGTTAAAAATATCTCATTTGGGATTATTCTTTCTTATGGAAACCTGCACCATTAACATTTATGCCTTGGAAAAGGTGAGTGAAAATGATCTTAAAGGCACTAAATCAACTCACCAATGGCACTCGTCCTACTAGCAGCGACTCGGTCTCATTGTGCAGGGCCTTCACGGTGCTGGCCACCTCAATGGCAGTGTTTCTTGTCAGGCTCTGAGGAGAACAGATGAATCAGACGTGAGAATTTACTCATAACTATGTGACTTATTTGAACTATGAGGACCACAGAGCAGTAAACACACCATTAATTTTCTCAAAAGAGCCACAGATTTTCATACAAAACTATCATTAGCTCTGAGGTTGATTAAGCGATTATATGTGCTTTGGGGGGAAAAAATCAGTATAGAAGTATGAACTCTTTCACACCAAACCCAAATTATAATTGTGTGATGAAGTAGAAGTGACAAAGTCGATTTTTGTATTTATATGGAGGCCGATCAACTCCTTCAGAGAATGATGAAAATTCATAAAACATCAGTGGCACTGGTGTGAACAGTCCTTGAGTGCTGGCATTGCTCACCTCGGGGAACTTGGGGTGTGTTTTGTTGATGGCGTGTGAGGAGGCGTTGACGGCGTGGGCCAGCTCCTGCTCGAGGAGTTGGTAGTTTTTGGCAGCCTCACAGATCCTGGTGATGAGATCCTCTGCAGCTCGAGCGCACATCTGGATGAGCGTGGCCTCCTCTTCTGTGGCCAGATCCACAGAGTGCTGAGGATACAGGGGCGGCCTCAGCGGAGGCTTGTCGTATTTCAGTTTATCCTCCCAAGACTTCAGCGTGTTTTCAAATGCCTTTCATGAAAAAGACTCATTTAAATGACAGTGAGTGTAGTTTAGCAAGGATACACACATTGACACTTCAAAACCATCTCACTAAGATAGATAATTGAGGGGCAACTGATATTTATATGCATTTTATGAAAGCAGTCTTCTATACTGTTATAAAAATCTCATTGATTTATATTACAAGCAGAATTTCATCATACTTTTTGACCATATAAATATCAACATCTGCACCAAATTGTATAGTTTGCCTCAGGTTGGGTCTCTGAATAAAACTGAGGTGCTATTTATATAAAATATGATATACTCAAAAACATATATGCAAACATTACTGTTCAAAAGTTTGGGGTCAATAAGATTTTTTTTTTTTTTATAAATTAATACTTTTATTCTTCATGGACACATACATTGATCAAAAATGACAAGTGAAGATGTTTATAATGTTTTAAGATAAAGATTTCTGTTTTAAAGGGGTCATATGATGCAATTTAAATTCGCTGAGGAAATACATCAACTTTGCGCTGTGGATCGCCGTATCGGCTTTCACCGTGGACGAAGCGGAGTCCAGCCCGAGGTCGTCACATGTGGTTACCGCAAGCCTCCTTCGTCGAATCCACCGGCCGCACCATTCTCAAGCCCGCCCGCCCGTCCGCCTGTGTTCACTCTAGCCCTCCGGCCGTTCCTCACTCTAGCCCCCGGCCAACAGCTGATTCATTCAGGAATGAAACAAGTCTTTATGAATGGGTAATCATGAATCACTGACTCACTAGATTCGTTCAAAAACGCACTTTCATTCATGAATGAAACTCGACTGTGTTTGCTTTTAGAGATGCGCAGCGGCTCAGCTGTTACTATATTTGGAACTATTTTCGTTGATGCAATATATACAATAAGACAATAAGAATGTTTGCGGGAGCGTGACACACGTTGTGGGAGTGGGCGGTAATGGTCAGAAATTCAGGGGGAGCGGGCTTAAGAAAACTGTCCCGCTCAGGTCTCTAGGCTGCGTGTCAACACACGTTTTTTTTTTTTCGTGCTACCCCATTTCCACCCCCAATCATTAGTGCCGAACTTTGACAGAACATATAGGACAATTTTTTAAATAGCGCCATAAACAAAATTTATTTCAAATTTAATTCAAACACTTTCAAGGACCTATGTTTGTTTTCAAGTACTTTCCAGGCCTTGAATCCATATGTCTGAAATTCAAGTACTTTCAAGAAGCGTGGGAACCCTGTTCTTTTTAGCAACATCATATGACCCCTTTAAATAAATGCTGTTCTTTTGAAATTTTGATTCCTCAAAGACTCCCAGAAAGCATATTACAGTTTCCACCAAAATATTAAACAGCACAGCTGTTTTCAACAATTATGAATCTTTGAAATAATTATTTTAAATGTAATATTCCACAATATTACTGTTTTACTGTATATTTGATCAAATTACTGCAGTCTTAGTGAGCAGAAGTGACTTCCTTCAACAACATTTAAAAAATCTTACCGATCCCAAACTTTTGAACGCAAGTGTTAATGAAGCCACTTTAGATGAAATATTCCTCAGTGGTCACCAACCTTTTTAAGCCCAAGATCCCTGACCTCGGCCTCTATGAAAGACATGATCTATTGAAGAATTGATAGAAAAAGACAGCTCAGATCGTACTTCCAATTTGAGGCCTTTTATTTAGTATTTTAATTAGTGATGCACCGATCATGATTTTTTTTATGGCCGATTCAGATTCTTTTTTTTCTTTCGCTTTTTTTTTAACAAGCCAATTCCGATACTGGTTGCTGATTATTTTTTATTGTTTATTTGCTCTATAACAAGCAAACAAGCCTTAAACAAAAATAGCTGTAGCCATTTGAAATCAGAGGAAACCATTGCATTTTAATCACAATCCAAACAAAGATGCAAAAACAGAACGGTTTGACTTTATCATTGTGAAATTATGCTACATAAAAACATATCTTCACGAAAACAAAAAAAGCAGACAGGCTGCATGAAAATGCAAATTCACTCTCTGATAGCAGGTGGCGCTTATGGAACAGCAGCGATATGCCGTTTCCTTGGTTACTGTTGTAAACAAAGCAGCGCTGCTTATAAATAGAGTGGGGGAACTATGACGTGAGAATCCGGAAGTGTAATTCGCCGCGGGTTTCTTCGAGATTTTCATAAATTGAAAAACCCCATTATAAAATGCCATAGGAAAATCTCAAAGAAACCCGCGGCGAATTACATTTCCGGATTCTGACGTTATAGCTCCCCCACTCTATCCACCTTTTTCTTCAATGTGGAAGTAAGCCTATGGGCGAGACTTCCGGTTCATTAGCCGCTATAGGTAAGTAACGAGAAGAATAACAACATGCAATAAAGGGACATGACGAAATGCTTGGTTTAAGATATAAGACATTACTTTATGTTAAAAAAATAAAATGCAATAATTATTTTTATTCATCATAACAGGCATACCAAAGTATTGTGAAAAGCTTTGAACAATTCAATTTGGTAAAGACCACTTTAAAAACTCAGAATCCCAGGAGTGACCCAGTAAATGCATGGTAAAACTGTTTGCACTACAAACCAGTGTGTTCATAATTAAGATAATACATTAAAATAATATGGTAAGACACACAAATTTCCAATATCAAGCAGCAAAACGAACTGTTTTGCTAAAAATAGCTAGATGTGGATGCGACCGGAAGCCAGACCCATAGAGTTTACAAATGGCCGCGCCCATTTTTACGGCAAGAAAAAGGTGGATACAGAGGTAAGAGGAAGAAAATTCCATTGCCATCGAAACATTTCTAAAGACAGTCAGTTCCTTTCAGTGATACAATCATATAACCCCTCACCCCCAATTCAGTATTTATATTTTCTTCCCATATTTTGCGCATCCTGAACAGTGATCTTGCTCTGTCTGTTACAGTATTTTCTCCTCTTTGTGTCCGTCTTTAGCGTCTTTGGCCTCTGTTAACTCAGGCATGATGTATTCTTTATCACTGTCCCAGAAGCTCCCAAAAATAACAGAAAATATTTACAAAAAACTACAGTACAAAGACTTTTGCACTTATTTTTCTGTTATTTTCGGGATCTACTGGGACAGTGATAAAGACCTACCAGATCGACGGGTTGCCGACCACTACTGCTTTAACTGTTCTGTTCCACTGTTTTATGGTAATATTGTGGAAATAAATTCCCCAGAAACACTCACCCTGTCTCTTGTCAGCATCTGGGCCCGGTTCTTGTGCTGAATCTTGATGACTCCAGGAGGTTGAATCCAGGCTTCTCCATCCACCTGGACCGGCACTCCTTCATCTCCCAGGATGGTGATCTTCACCGTGCGACACTGGGAGGGGTGAGGAGAGGTTACTCACTCTATCACCATAATTAACATCCTTTACAGATCTGTGTCATTCGTGTGAGGTGTGTTTACCTGTGCAATACGGTGATGCTGCAGTTTGATCACCCTCGAGACAGCCATCTGCATACTACCAAACACAGCGACCACTTCCAAAATTTTGTCATCGAATGAAGGGGCACAAAATATCTGCATGAAGAGACAAAAAAAACAATAATCATGAAAATAGCTCATCACCACTAGGCGGCTCCGTACAGGCTCACACAAAAAAAACAATTTCTCCTAAAAAACTATTAACCCTATAAAGCCTATCATATTTGATACACACATTTCTAAGGCCTCTTATCAACACGATCAAAATTTTGTCTCCTGTCTCTTGTACACAATCTACTACATGCTCTCTGTCATCTGCTTGATAGTTTATACTTTTTTAGCAAGTAAAAGGCATTTTATTATAGTTGTAAAAATCTGTGTTGTATGATAGTGGAAAACAACTTCTATTTGGCTCACCTCCAGCTGAACTTTCTGCTCCAAGTTCTTGTAGGTCCGCTGCAGAAGTTCTTTCGTCCCCAGAACTCCATACCACATCATGTTTTTAGTGCGACTTCTGGACAGTCAGAGAAATACTAGTCAACCGTTGGTAACACTTTAGATTAGGGAACACATATTCACTATTAACTAAGAGTTTTCCCTCAATGAACTCCTAATTTGCTTTGATTTAGGGATCTAGAATATGGTCATAAAGAATAAAGCATTAATATGTGCTTTACAAGTACCAATAAACAGCCAATATTCTAGTAATATGCATGCTAATGAGCAACTAGATAACAGTAAATAGTGTTCCCTAATCTAAAGTGTTAACCAACAGTTGAGTATTTGTCAGTGGTGTTTTGGTAAATGCAGTATATGAAAAAAGGTTGTGCTTTAATCCTGAACTACCTGCATTTCTCTGGGTGCTCCTCACGTTTGTTGTTGAACTCCAGTGAGATCTTTGCATCTAACCCAATGCCAAAGTAGTTATTCATCACACACTTCTCCAAATAGCCCTCTCTGTGAGAGAAATGACCCATGTAAGTTTCATGAGTGCTTTTAAGATAAACTTAAACAAGAAAAAGGAAACCGAAGCTCTTACAGTGAGTCCAGGTCAGGATCTATGAAGGGTGTGGCACCAAATGGATCAATGTTGGCAAGCAGCATCTTACTGATTATGGAGCTTCCAGCTATGGATGCAGCAAGACCTGCCCGCAGACCTGAAGACCAACCAAAGGATGAATGTGAGACTGCAGATCAGCAAACCATATTTAGGATTATATTGTAATGAAAAATCTATTATCGATTACTCACCCTCATGTTGTTTTCACCCTGTATAACTTTTTTTTTAGTAAAACACAAAAGATGTTTTACAGAATGTTCATGCTGAAAGGTGCCAAAAGTTCCAAATAAGCACTATAAAAGTGTCATAAATATGATCCTTATGACTTGTGAACTATATTCCAAGAGGTCCTATGATAGCTTTGTGTGAGAAACCCAACTAAAATGTAGGATTATTATTTTGCATTATTTTCAGCAAATAAAATGTTGGTCTGTTCCTCACACAAAGCTTCTAATTTCAAAAAGAGCACTTATTATGGTTTGCTATGCTTTAAAACAATATACTTAAGTGTGAACTGAATGTTTGGACACTTAAGTACACGTTAATTGCAATTAAATGAAAATGTATTATAGTTTAAATTTATATTAAATGCAATTAGCGGAACTTTACTTTAGAACTTTAAAGTGCTCTTTATAGGTAATTTCATAATTATTTCTACTGCTTTTGAAATATTATAGTGTACTGCTGAATGCAATGGCAAGCATTTATGGTAAACTAAAATATACTTAATGTACATTTCTATGTACTTTAGTATTTTAGTCAACACATCAAAATAACTTATTATTATTAAAATAATTTTAAATGTAGTTTAAAGTACATTTTTTCATTTAGCATTATTACAAAGTGCACTTTTTAAAAGTGTACTTAAGTGTGTTAAGAAACATGAAAATTTAAACAAGTAAACTTGAGTGTGCTTTTATTTTATTAATATTATATTATCTGCAAGTACAGTTTTTTTTTTTTTTATTATACTTCAAATTTGAAGTACACTACTTGAAGCGCACATTTAATACATTTTTCTTTTCTTTTTTTTATACAAGCGTTCTGCAGACTTTTGGACTACAGTTATGAAACCTTAATGGTCCTTTTAAAAGCTTGGCAGCTATGGGTCACTATTCGCTTTCACTGTACGTAAAAGAGCAGCTCAGACATTTTTCCTAACATCTGCTTTCATGTTTAGTGGAAAAACTAAAGTCATACTGGTTTGAAACAACATGAGAGTGAATAAATGATGACAGAAATGTGACTTTTGGTTGAACTATCACTTTAAGTTTTCCTGTAAAGATATACGGTCGTACCGGGACAGATGATGCGTGTGTTGAGAACAGGCAGGTTCTCCTTGCTTGTGGTGAAGGGAGTGATGGAAAAGGAGCCGCAGGACTGAGTGCTGCGACTGACACGCCTCTCTGGCGGCAAACACGGCGACTTAGCCACTACAGAAGCACAAACACAGAACAAAACATGAGCTCATGTGTACAGAACACTCATCCATCACAGCAATATTGTCCAAGTGCCCATTACACAGCAAAATCTAATGCCGTTTTGATTTGTAAATGCTCAGTTTTTTCCAGCACGTAAGAATAACCCGTGCATTTTGGTCACTGGCTCTCAACAAGAAGTGAAAAATCCATGTAAAAGAGATATTCAGCAGAACGCAAGTAACAAAAACAAACCAAAACACATTAGGAGCACTTAACAGCTATGAGACGGAGGCGAGATCAGGAGCCCCTGAGAGACTGAACCAGCTTGGAGAATAAAGTCTTTCGTGCCCCACTGGAAACATGAGCAGACAGCAGGCCTCTATGTAAACAGGAAGTGCCACTGTCCAGCAAACAAAGATATGCTCTCTGTAGACAGAAATATAGCACAGGGATCCTCTCGGAAACCTACAAATATATTTGCAGCTATAAACACTTACAGTCTGTAAGCCGTAAGGAAATCCCAAAACTTCTGAAGGAAAAAGATTGTGTTATTGCGCAATTTTGCAAAACAAAAGCTTGTCTTCCCACTTAGAACAGTCTGGCTTTATGAAAACAACTATAACTATAAAAGTAATGTGATTTACTGAGTCTAAAGGCCTTTTCAGAGATTATTTATAGAAATATAATAAACCCATATAATAATAATAATAATGAAATGTTGCTGATATTTTTCAAACTAAGAGCAACATGTAAAACAACTAAGAGTAATTCTAATTCCAATGATAATGATAATAATTTATGTTAATGCATTTTTATTATAAAAAACACCCCTAATAATAATAATAATGATGATGATGATGATGTGCAAAACAACTAAGAGTATTTATTTATTTATAAAAAATAAACCCAAATATATTATTATTATTAATAATAATAATAATCTTTTTTTTTTGCTGCTCTTAATTCGTTTTTTTTTTGTTTAAACGTGACATTGAATTGAAATAATTTACTATAATGAGTTTGTCACCAGAGGGCAGCACTAACCCTTTCAGGCACAAACAGAACAAGGTCTGAATCACAGTTCACACATTATCCATCCTAAATAAAGTGCCATTACAATACTACAATAATATTACAATATTACAGTAACGTCCAGTATGTACTCTATACGGCCTACTGTTTTTGCATGTTAGTACTGCATTATTCCGCCATAAATGTTTCAAAGAGTAGTCACATGATCTCATCATGTTGCACATGAGTGGCGTTCGGTTCGTTCGTTGAATTGAATTTTATGTTAAAAATATAACTTTTGGCAGTCTGATTAAATAATGAGTCTAAAACGAGATGTTAAAAATCACGACTAACTTTACTTTCAGTTTCTTTGTCACACTGGAGTCACGTGCATTGCATTGTGGTGAAGAAGTAGTACTTAGTTTAGACTTCTCCCATACTGTACAATCGTCATTTTGGCAACTATAATAATTCATATGAGTATTCCAAGCATACAGAAAATGTGCATACTGTGCAGAGTCCATCATTCAAGCCTTTATAAAGAATAGACTTAAAAAAGCCTTTTCATGCACAAACAGCTCCAGTGAGACAAAAAAAAACATCCTGGCACTTGAATGCAGCCCAATGGAGGATTCAGCTTTTAAGGCCGGTAAGCAAGAACACTTTGTGTCTCATAGGAAGCAGTTAACAGCGACAATGTGTCTAAGTTTGAGAAGAGTGAACTCACAGGGCAGAGCTTCCAGTTCTTTAGTGTCCTCGTCCTTCTCGTTGTCTCGGTTTTCCTCCTCACTGTCCTTCCTGAAGTCAGTGGGAGACTGCAGCTCCTGCTCCTCCGTGTGAGCGTTCTGCTCATCCACCACTACAGCACAGACACAAACACAACCTCCTGATTCATGCACTCTTCACGTGGAACACAGAATAAGGCAAGTCTGGGAAAATTTTTATTAATATATTAATATTCATGTTTTTGATGGAGGCCCAATGACACAAAATTGTGACAATTTTTTTTACAATTTTTTTAATGGGCTTTTTGTTTAAGTTTCCCAAAGAGCACGTCATCAGACTAGTTTCACAATCCTTCCTTGTCTTGAGAATTACTTCAGCTCTGAAAAAAAACATTTGTTTGGCTGATATCAAGAATTACTCTTACATCATTTCACATTGACTTTAATCCTCAATAGCAGAAAGGCAACTAGCTTGAATCGCTTTTCCGTTGAAATAAATCAATTCAAAACTCTAAATTTGTTGGCATCATCACTAAGAAATGTCCTCTTTTTTTTAATAAAAAATATGTACTAAAGTAAATATTGCTGTTTATTACTCTATATTGTTGTTTTATTCAAATAAACAAACATGGCCCAATATCACGTATGTTTGTGTTAATTTAGCTCATATTAATTGAAAAATGTGGCAAACAAAGTATATTTTAACATTAAAATGTGCTATATCTGAAACATTTTACAGTCTTCTTCTACAGAGCCAATACTAATTACTATTTTTTTTTAATTTTGCATTTAAGATTTTTGTAACATTTTTGTTATTATATATATATATATATATATATGACGTGACGTGTAGCCAAGTATGGTGTCAGCAAACTTTGGGTCACATCTCCGACTCTCTAACCATCAGGCCACGACTGCCCCCAGTATATAAATCTTATATTTATTTATGATATCATATTTAAGTCTTTAGATTTATAATTTAAATCTACACAAAAATGTTATTCTATTTATTTTTATCATATAATATTTAGATAATATTTAACCATATTTTTTAAATTAAAATGTGCTGCATCTGAAACATTTTACAATCTTCTTCTAAAGAGATCTTCTATTTTTTTTATATTTTGTATTTAAAGTTAATATTTTTAAATAAAATATTCATGTTATTACATATATATACAGTATATATGTACACAAAATGTTATTGTATTTATTATATCATATTTAGATCATATTTCATATTTAAATATATTGCCCAGGCCTGGATTTTTGAAAAATTTGAATATAATTGATTTAAGTCATGTGATTAGTCATTTAAGAGACGCTGATATCCAGAGCAGCATTCTGTAAGCAGGAGATCAGTGTTTGTTTGTTTTTTGATTCAAAAGACGTAGAAAGACATGCTGGACAATCATACTTCTCTCTGCCTGCTCGATGATCTGTCTGAGCGCTTTCTTCAGGCTGTTGGCTCTCAGCACAAGCTGCTCGCGGGGTCTGAAGAGCTTATGAGCAGAGCCTTTCTCAGTCTCATTCTCCTTCAGCTCCGTTAAAGACTCTTCACTCAGATCCTCCTCTTCCTCCAGCTCCTCCTCCTCCACCTCCTCCTCCACGATGGGTGGCGTGGTGAGGGCTGAGGGCGTCATGGCCTGCGCCTCCAGATTCAGCGTCTGCAGGAGGGAGTCCAGCTTCTCGTTCAGAATCGCACACTGTGGACAGAGAACAAAGGAAAGGGTGCTGCATTGATAAACAGGTTTATACAGCGTTTTCACTGTATTTCTGCGCACGTGTTGAGTAATGACTGAAAGAGCTGTCATGAGGTGAGGCATCACAGACTCACTTTGAGGGCAAGTGCATCAGCTTCCTCTGTACTGTCACTGCTTCTCTCATAACACTTCCCAACTTTGGCCACAAATTCCTTCACTGTCTCACACAACACCCTGGAGGAGACGAGAGGAAATTGTGTTTATCTGTGTTTCTGTTTGTTAGTGGTGGAATAGTGTGGACTGTATAGTGTGAGAGGACTCACTTTGATGAAGATATGACCACTGAGTGCTGATCTGAGTTCAGGATCTTCGTGAGATGAGCAGCCACTGAATCCTCATAAGCAGATATCTGTAACTAAAGCCACGACACACACACACACACACACACACACACACACACAAAACATAAACTGCAATAGCAGGACGAGAGAATGTAACATTTCCTGAGCATGAAAACTAAATCACTCCACAACTGGCCTTTAATATATGCTAAATAACATTTTTGTAGCATTTTAATTAGTGCTGTCAATCAATTAAAAAAATTAACTAATTAATCACACATTTTTTTTCTGAAATTAATCGCGAATAATCCCACCTAACATTAAAGTTTTTAAATATACTTTCATATTGCAATAATTTCACAACTTCTAATTTAAGTGCACTTAAAACAATCTTCACATAAACCCATTATAATACATGTCATATTTAGGTACCTGTGCCCTTCAGCAAGTAGGAAATATACAGAAATTGAATAAACTTATCAAACACTAAATTCTAAATTAAATAGAGATGAATCCTTAAAGCTACAAAAGTTATTGATTTCCTCTTTATTTTTTCTTTTGTTCTTTGATTAACAGTCATCACAGCAGCTGTGTTATTAGGTTATTTTGGCTGCTTTAAGTGCTGCTGCTGCTGAACATGGACGTGGATCTGACATGCATCGTATTTTCTCAAAACTCTTTACCTTTCTGATCCTCTTCAGGTCTTAAAGTCTCTACTAATGCGCTAATACTAATGCGCTAATTTTGACAGCAATAATTTTAATGTTTTTTTTTATTTTTTTATAAAAATATTATTACAATAAAACCCAAGTGTATATTTTGTGTGTACCAAATCATTTCATAAATGAGCAGTCAAGTACACCATATGCCCTCTTTTTCCTGGACATGTCCTGGCCCGAGCAGGATTTTGTAATTGCCTACAATGTGTGGGATTTTGGCTTTGTTTTCCTATTGTTTTCATACCTGCTGAAAATAATGAATGAAAAGTAGTTTAACCAATAGCATGCAGGCATTGTACATGATCGACCAATCGTGGCGTGCGAGAAGGCGGCGGGATCTACAGAAAACAATAATGTATGAAGAGAAGACTGTAGAGAGCACATCAATAGGAAAACAAAGCCAAAACCAGGACATCTTAGGCAATTTTGAAATCCCGGCAAGGACATGTCCTGGAAAAAGAGGACGTATGGTCACCCTACAAATAATAGTAACAGTCTCAACCTATTTATTTAGACTCAGACATGACTAAAAATAATGGCTCATAGAAATAACTCATAAGTTTGTGACTAATTTGTGACCATTTTGAACAATTCATTAAAAAAAGCACCAGTTCATAAGAGCCATTTGTTCGTGAAGCGGACTACAATGGGTGCGCCAAATGTTTTCAAATGAAACAGCTGAAAGATGTGTCTTTTTATTGTCTTTGTTGTATTTTTGTGGCACCTAGTCTTAGATAAAGTTTTTTATCTTTTTTATCAACCCTTTTATTGGTGTTGATGTAGATGTATGCATTGGCGCTGATGTGTAGCTGGTACCTGGCCGTCCTCTGCCTCCTCAGGTGTCTGGCCTTTAATATATGCTAAATAACATTTTTGTAGCATTTTAATTAGTGCTGTCAATCAATTAAAAAAATTAACTAATTAATCACACATTTTTTTTCTGAAATTAATCGCGAATAATCCCACCTAACATTAAAGTTTTTAAATATACTTTCATATTGCAATAATTTCACAACTTCTAATTTAAGTGCACTTAAAACAATCTTCACATAAACCCATTATAATACATGTCATATTTAGGTACCTGTGCCCTTCAGCAAGTAGGAAATATACAGAAATTGAATAAACTTATCAAACACTAAATTCTAAATTAAATAGAGATGAATCCTTAAAGCTACAAAAGTTATTGATTTCCTCTTTATTTTTTCTTTTGTTCTTTGATTAACAGTCATCACAGCAGCTGTGTTATTAGGTTATTTTGGCTGCTTTAAGTGCTGCTGCTGCTGAACATGGACGTGGATCTGACATGCATCGTATTTTCTCAAAACTCTTTACCTTTCTGATCCTCTTCAGGTCTTAAAGTCTCTACTAATGCGCTAATACTAATGCGCTAATTTTGACAGCAATAATTTTAATGTTTTTTTTTATTTTTTTATAAAAATATTATTACAATAAAACCCAAGTGTATATTTTGTGTGTACCAAATCATTTCATAAATGAGCAGTCAAGTACACCATATGCCCTCTTTTTCCTGGACATGTCCTGGCCCGAGCAGGATTTTGTAATTGCCTACAATGTGTGGGATTTTGGCTTTGTTTTCCTATTGTTTTCATACCTGCTGAAAATAATGAATGAAAAGTAGTTTAACCAATAGCATGCAGGCATTGTACATGATCGACCAATCGTGGCGTGCGAGAAGGCGGCGGGATCTACAGAAAACAATAATGTATGAAGAGAAGACTGTAGAGAGCACATCAATAGGAAAACAAAGCCAAAACCAGGACATCTTAGGCAATTTTGAAATCCCGGCAAGGACATGTCCTGGAAAAAGAGGACGTATGGTCACCCTACAAATAATAGTAACAGTCTCAACCTATTTATTTAGACTCAGACATGACTAAAAATAATGGCTCATAGAAATAACTCATAAGTTTGTGACTAATTTGTGACCATTTTGAACAATTCATTAAAAAAAGCACCAGTTCATAAGAGCCATTTGTTCGTGAAGCGGACTACAATGGGTGCGCCAAATGTTTTCAAATGAAACAGCTGAAAGATGTGTCTTTTTATTGTCTTTGTTGTATTTTTGTGGCACCTAGTCTTAGATAAAGTTTTTTATCTTTTTTATCAACCCTTTTATTGGTGTTGATGTAGATGTATGCATTGGCGCTGATGTGTAGCTGGTACCTGGCCGTCCTCTGCCTCCTCAGGTGTGGCGGGGCAGCTGTGTTTGGGAGGTATTTTAATCTCATACGTCATTATACTCCACCTGTAAACAGCAGCTGTAGATGTAGCCAACAACACGGATATTATAAGCTCGACATAGTTGTGGTCATGCTAGTGTGCGCTCTGTACCTGTCCAGCATCTTGGTGCTGGCTCGCTCCAGCTTCTCCAGTATCTGAGGGAGTTGAGTGTCATCGTCACAGGACGGCCCCCAGCCGAGCACCCGCGCCAGGTCATTTCCGGTGCCCAGCGGCAGAACGCCCAGCTGGCACTGCCAACGAGAGACGAGTCAGATCACCGAGCCAGTTCATTAAGAAATCCTCCTAAACATCTGCTCTGATACTCTTGTGCCAAGTCCTAACCATACAGCGACAAGTTTACTTCCAATCGACAGGATATGGTGTAGTGCTTTTCAATTACCTGTTTGTGAAGATTTAGTTTATCGATTTCAGACAGGACCCAACCAACGCTTCCATCTCCACCGCACACGAGGATTCGGAAGTTGTCGAACTTTTGGAACAAGCGAAGGCTGAAAGAGAGAAAAGAACAATTAAAATGACACACAAACTTTAAAATGCTTCTCAAAATGTCTCACACACAGTTCAAATAAAGGGATCATGCGAGATTAGGTTTGGGTAGTTAACGTGCTATGATGTGACATGCTAAATCATTTTTCTACTCTTTTATAATCATTATGCCTGCAGTTTTTATGAGCTCAGACTATATAGAAAAATTGATTTTGTCCCACTGTAGGATCATTAAAACATGCCATAAAAAAGTGATTAAAATTGAGAAAAATGTAATAATAGCAGTTCTGGGACCTGAAAACTTGTATGTTGATTTATAAACCATCATACATCAACAACCTCTTTTGTAAACAACAGCAAAACAAGTAAAAACACTGATTTGCTTCTAAGATGATAGTCAATAGTTCACTTCCTGCGACTTTTGGTATGCTGGTCTTACCCTAAATGAGGTCCACCGTTGACCAGGTCAAAGACCTGAGCGGGATTGAGCAGCTGTTTGAAGCGACGCAGGAATTTTACCCCTTGGTTGTCTCCACTTTTTGAGTTGACAAACACGAGGAGTGGACTAGCGCATGATGGGGGACAGGTGGCCTTCCAGAAACCTGTCACAGGAAAAGAACAAAAAAAGATTAGAAACTTTTTAGCTCCAATAGCTTTTTCAAAACGTAGATACATTATTTTGGCCAAATGCTAAGGCAGCACCACACACACAAAAAAAAAATACACCCAGCTTGCACTGCAGTGAACCAGGATGGTGGATGAAAGTGAGCGAAATTCTGATTAGAAGTAAGCTTAATTAATTATTTACTGAAAAGTATCAATAAAATAGTAATAATTAAAAATGGACTATTTTACCCAATATTTATGTGTTTTTTTAATTAAGAGTATTACATTGTTATCTTAGCAACATGCTACAGCTAACTGTCACTGATTCATTTGTAAAAACTGATTTATTGTAGAATTGATTTCTAAAATTCACTGCAGTCGAAACAACAACAGAAAATATTCAGCTGAAAAAAATAATTATATTTTGGCCGAATAGTTTTGGAGTGCCAAAAGCAATGACCAAATAATTGATGCTTTATTAGCACTTTTCCAGTTTTTTGACTGTGTAAAATTTGTTTGGCTGAAATATTGAAAGAAGAGTCGTTGCTGAAGAAATTTATTTCGACTAGTTTAATTCTCACCTGAGAACACAACACCCTGAACAGTTCAATTACCCAATTATGCGAATTTAATTATCAAGACTATGATTTCTTTGTCATTAGAGCCAGGCTGAGTGAGGAGCTGTCAAACGTGCTCGCAGTCTAGGCGGTCACGTGCATGCATGCAGCATGTGAAGTAAACAGTCTGAACATGCCAGTGGCTGCGAGCAATAACCCGCTGTGTTTATGAGATTCACCATATGCACCATTTAGATTTTCACATTCCTGTCTCTCTGGTGCAGACGTATGGGAGGAATTGTTTGCAGGTGCACACAGTGCATTCATTCTGGGTACCTGTATGCATCTATGTGTATTGCATCATGTTTGCATACATGGCTCTAAGCATGCATGAGTGTTAGTAAACCTGACAACTGCCCTCAAGCGCAGGTTTGCATGTTCTCTGCGTGGCTGCGAGCGGATACTGACGCGTGGGTGCACGTCTGTCAGTAGACCCCTTTAGGTCTAACAGAAGCCCCACCTCCTCTTTCCCTCGCTCTCTCGCTATCTCTCCCGGAGGCAGGCTGAGGCAAATTGAGTCACGAAGCCCGAGCACGTGCCAAAGGCAGCCCTGAGCGAATTAAGATGCAACTCTCCTCGCCACCTAGCACTGAGGCGGGGGATTCCTTACACGTGAGCGACTCTCCTACTTTCCCATCACATTCTCATGCTTTCTGCTTCTTTAGCAGCTTAACAGGGTTCGATCCGTGCATGCCTCCTCCATTCGTTTTGTCTGTTTTAAAACAGCCAATTAACAGGAACCACAAAGCGATCCAAAAACATATCAGGCGAAACTTCACAGCTATTGATTTTCATTACATTTCTGTCTGGCCCCAACTAATCCGATATGTGCTCCGCCAATTAAAGGCGCAGGAGCTTTGAGGTTCTGATCAATAGTGGACGTCCTCAGCGCTCACAAGGTTTGACTTCACACACGGCCAGATGAAAGTTGCTAATTACTTAAAAAACCCGTTGACACCAAGAACGATAACTATAGAGATAACTATATTATCGTCCACACCAAAACACGGTAACGTTTTGTTAATTATAAACAGCGTGCTGCAGTTTTGTCATCTACCACTTTAAATGCTCAAGCTCTTTAAAGTTGGATGGATTCTGATTGGCTGTCAATGGTTTTATCGTTCATCAGCTGGAAAAAAAAAAATTCTGAAAGTGATTTCTCTGTGTCATTATCGTTTTAGTTGTGATGTGGACATCTCTATAGAATTTGAGTGAATATGAAAACTCACTGTTATAGTAATCATTATAGATATCGTCCTTGGCGTAAATGACACTTTTACATAAAGCTAATGAAAGGTAACTGGTTTCAGACCGGATTCTACATTTTTGGCCACATTAGTGATATTCCAGGGAAATTTCACATACAATAAAAGTCCATTGTTTATTGTCAATAGCGTAGCGAATCGATATATGAAGCACAACTCACACAGAAGTCATTTTCAAACCAAGCAGTTTTCTGTTGATCAGCACAGAGAATTTTAACTTGAACATGAGCGAAATCTGTGTATGGAAATTTTCGCCATCACACAAAAAAATTTGCATTCCTATTAAAATTACTAGATTTCGACTGAAATTTCACCAAGCAACGATAAATGTAACTTCACCTTGCATGCATATGGCATTGTGATGTTATGTATATTTAAACTGACAGTAATTTGTAACCAAAAAAGCAATCAGAAGTCATTCATTTTCAATGTGAGCTTGCGACTTGAGTGCACGTGATCTGCTGTATGATTAAGTTGGATGCCGCAATCAACTAGGAACCTCTCCTAGCAAACTTCAGCCAATGAATCACTGTTAGAGTCAAACTAAAATCAATCGTTTGAAATGCTACAAGTGGATTTAGGAATCACAACATTATAATGTATATCATAATGTACAGTATGAAAAATTAATATTCATTTTGAGATTTGCAAAACATTATTAACAATGCCACAATATTAATTATAAATAATGTTTAAAATGAATAATTAATGTAATGTTTTAAAGATTAACTAAGTGGAATAGATGATTACAAAGGCAAATTTAAAAACAGGGCAAATGCGCATAAACTATTAATATTCAATATTTACATATAGGTGAATTAAAATATGGTAACATATGGCAGCATGAAATTTAATTGCAATGATGTGATAGCAGCTTAAAATGTGATAAAAAAAAAAATGCTCCAGATTTGCTAAGCTTGATTGAAGGGCTGCATACTACGCACCATACGTGAAATTTTTTTCAAGCAGTTTTTTTTTTACTTTCGGACACAGCCATTGAGCTATTTTTACACCTATCATTGAGAATGAAGCGGCTCTAAATAGCATTCACACAGCTGTCAATAAAAGGCAATGTGCAATTTCCTGGAAATCAGCGGCATATGCTCCACCGCAGGCTGACTGAGCAAACAAGCAAGGTATGAATCCTCAGCGGCAGGTTAATAATGCAGAAAGGGATGGAGAAAGAGAGAGCCGGGCATGGAAGAGTGCTTTTGTTTGCTCTCGTCTTGAATTTTCCAAGCACATGGTCCACCAGAGGCTGTTATGTTTACATGCGTTGGGACAAGATGCTCTAAGGGAAAGTGACTTTCCACACCACCCTGACATATACAGGAGAGATGGGAAAGAAAAATAAAGGAACATGGACACAGAGTGTCTCTCAGGAGAGGAGAAAACACATCCTGTATGATCAAATCAGAAGAGGTCAGAGGTATAATGAAAAAGATATTGCTCTTCATGCAGTCTGGGAATTAGTAAAGCTAATGAGCTCCATCTACAGCAGCCCTCCACCTGAGCTCCTCCCACCACTTCACATGCACACACACACGCCAATACATAATCATACATTATATCCAGAGTGGGATCATGCAGAAGCACGCAATCAGGCAATCACCCATTCTTAGTGACCTTGACCTTTTGAAATGAAAGGGTTTCATGTACTATGAAAACAAATTGAAACTTTTATAACTGAAAACTTCTCCCAAGACCAAAAAAAAAAAAAAAAAATCAGAAAAAAAAAAACAACTGAAAATTTAATATTGGAAAAAAATAGCAATAAATAAATAAACAGTAAAAAAAAAAAGGTTAGTGGACATTCAGAACAACCTGTTTTATAGCTTGCTTGCTTATGTATGTATGTATGTATTTATGTATTTATGTCTTTATGTATTCTTATTTTACTGAGATTATAACCTCCAAAAAAGTGAGCCCTAATAATAATAATAATAATAATAATAATAATAATTCCATTAAAAAATAAAAGATGAATAAATCCTATGACCATTTAAATTATCCTAACCCAAATACAGTATAAATACAATATAAATAATATCATTTAAATGAATAAATTAAATTAATATTTTGCGCAAAGACACGTAGTAGTAGTAGTCGTAGTAGTAATAATAATAATAATAATGTGTTATTTATAAACACCTTTCCCAAGCTCAAGGTTGCTTATATAATAATAATAATTAAAAAAATTAAAAAATGAATAAATACAATAGCCATTTTAATTATTCTCACTCAAATACAGCATTTAAATGAATAAATTAAATTATTATTTTGCACAAAATGCATATTAATAATTGCTTATATAATAATAATACATTAATTTTAAAAATAAAAACTGTATAAATAATATGATAATGTTCTTATTTAAATACAGCATATTTATTGTAGAAATCATATTATTCGTATTAATAAATTAAATGAATATTCATCAATATTTATGTGTATAAACTCTGACTAGAATAATCCCTCTTGAAGTCACTCTTGTGAAAAGAAAAGTCTTACCGTCCGAGTCGATGCTGTTGAGGGCGGTAGGGGGGATGATGGACACTTTGCACTGGCCGAGGGGACATTTGCGGGGGTAGAGATCCATGCATGCCGTGTGCACCTGTCCAAGCACAGACAGCTTTTAGAGTTCACAAACTCTTTGAACTCAAATAGTCATAAGGGATTCTGGGATATGTAGTTCATACCATGGCTTTGCACCACAAACAACGCCAATCCTGCAAGCGCAGCACGCTGCCACAGGTTTTGTCGCAAACGGCACACTTAGCACTGACAGGCAGGTTGCCTTCCAGCCATTGGTGTGGCATCGCAATCTACAGGAACAGAATATAATAAAAATGTACACCAGCAGACCCATAGACCAGACTTCTGCTATTCAATCAAAGGTTATGCATTAGCTCACTGAACTACGGGCTTTATGAGACTCACCCCATCCTCGTCCTCAATGATGTCCTTGCCGATAGAGGCCAACGTTGTCCATTTGCAGTTGTTGGTGGCCCTGACTGCGCATCTTTTGTGGGCCTTGAATTTACACACTGCAAGAGAGTAATGAGAAAATTCCTTACGAGTCTGGCCAGCAGTAATCTTGAGCTGCTTCTACGACAATCAAGTATTTTAATTTCAGCAGAAGAAACATGAGGTGATAAAAGACGTCTGGAAAATGCTTCTTAAATCAAGCTAAAATTAAACTGCACAATATACAGTGATCAACTGAGGGGAACACTGAAGAAGTACTTGAAAACCCAAATGCTAATAACTAACTCCTTTCTTTAATCAAAGAACAGGGTCACGAGGAGAGGACCAGCACTGTACAAATAATCATTATCTGTCATTCTGATGGATTGGCTTTCTGTCAGGCTCAATTATAATTCTTTGCTATTTTCATGTTCCTAAAACATGTATTGCATGTATTAATCAAAAATACAGTAAAATTGTAAAATATTATTACAATTTAAAATAACCGTCGTCTATTGCAACGTATTTTAAAATGTAATTTATTCCTGTGATGCAAAGCTGAATTTTCAGCATCATTACTCCAGTCTTCAGTGTCACATGATCTTCAGAAATCATTTCAATATGCTGATTCGATGCTCAAGACATTTTTTATTATTATCAATGTTGAAAACAGTTGTGCTGCTTAATATTTTTGTGGAAACCATGATTTTTTTTTCAGGATTCTTCACAAAGTTCCAGCATTTATTTGAAATAGATAAATTTAATAGATAAATGTCTTTACTGTCACTTTTGATCATTTTAATGTGTCCTTGCTGATTTAAAAAAAAAAAAAATCTTACTGACCCAAAGTTTTCCTAATTTATATTCATACAATTCCATTTGTAAATGTAGATTTTGCCTTGATATTCCCAATATTAACATTTTCAATAAGTGCATTTCTTTTATGACACTAAGTAAGCCAGTTACATTATTTGTGCAGCATTGGCAATAACATATGCAGTATTATTTTTCAAGTTTAGGTCTATAAAGTGACAAAACAATCTACAAATCTACATTTCTAATCTCTATTAGCATCCATTACTCTAGAAGTCTTTCTAAAGTATGGAAACAATGGCCATCTTATTTTTTTTATCCATCATGACAAAGTATTTTATATTATCTATTAATTTCTTCTAAATTCTGGAAACTTTTGGCTAACTCAACCTCTAAACCACACGAGTGCTGTTTTTGTCCTCACCAGTGGTGTGGGTGAGGTCCAACAAACTAATGGCCGACAGTTCTTTGTTGATTTCCTCTATTAAATTGCATTGCAGGTCTAATCAAGTTAGCAAAGTTCATCTGGTCGTTTCCAGAAGGAGAATTAAGTGGCTGATTGATTGGCTGGCTGGCTTCCTCCTCCATAATGTACACGTCAGCACATTATCGTGGCCACCTCCATTCCTATGAACTTAAAATGTACACTCAGCCGTTTCCCGACACAGATGCTGCAATTAGTGCAGATATCTCTACAAGAGAACTAGAAAAAAAACATCCTGTACGTTCAGGCTCCGAGCTGTTCTGTACAAGCAGGGCTGATTGGCGCCCACAGTCCAAGAATCAGACCCTGAAAAAGCCTCAAATCCAGTTAAATCAGCCCATCTCAGTGCCTGAGCGCATTACGCCTCCATATGCTGCCGGGGCTTCTAATGTCCTGCAGGATTACACAGATTTGTGGCGACACGGCTAATCACGGCAGCGCAGAGGCACATTTAGCCCAGCCAAGCCCTGCCAGCCGGGACGCCACACAGTCACCACAGAAAGTGTTTCCTCCCTGGCGTATTCCAGCAGCAGAGTGAATACTGCATGGGCTGATCGGGGCTGTTTACGGGAAAGGAAGCTCAGCGCTCACGGTATGTCAGACCGTGAGAATTTCCACTTTCTACAATGCTGTTTCTCAATAATAAATGAGGAGCCTCATCAATTGAGACGAGACGAGAGAGCGCGCGTCCTCTTCAGAGAATCATACCGCTAATCAGAGAGCGCTTCATCTCGCTTGGGCTCCGCACTCATCTTGTAATCAGAGCTGGTCTACATGGCTCTGAAAACAAATCTCCAATAAATCACTCTAATGTCATTTTCAGGGCTGTTAGCAAACCATTTACAGACAATTCAGTAATGCCGAGTAAACTAAGACTGTTTACGATGCGCTGCTAATGGACAGGATGTCTCTGTCAAATTAGAGAGTGAGAAATATCGAGTTTGCCTCTTTTGTTGGGGCCCATGTCTCACATCATTCCTTATTGATTGGCTGCTGCAGGAAATCGAAGTGAAATATAAGCAGCAATGATCGTTCTAAACTTCAAGTCTCTCAACTTGGTGAACCCTGCTGAAAGACCAGTGTAGACCTGCATGAATTCCCATGCTGGACCAAACTGGTCAGAACTGGCAGGTGAAGCTGGTTAAGCAAGTAAAGAAGTTTTGTTGGGACACCAGCGCATCAAAACATATGCTGCTGACCCGCTGACCGCTGAAGTCTAGCCTTTGTGATCCTGTTAATTCCCAGTGCCTTGTTTGGCCAACATGATTATGTGTAACCAATTTAGAGTTGTAGTACTGGTGCTTGTAAGACCGGAGAAGAGTCCACGATCATATTTTCAGGGTCTTGGTCTTCTCAGGAGCATTTGGACTGACACGACCCACTTCAGTTCTCATTTTTGACTCAGACTCATCCCTTTTTTTGGCCTCTATCTTGACCTGGACTCAACCCCGTTCTGTTCTCGGTCTTGACTTAAACTTGACCCTGTTCTGGTTTCAATCTTGACTCGGACTGAACCCTCTTCAGGTCTCTGTGTCAGTCGACGCATGCGTGTGGTGCTGCTGATGCAGAAGCCGTCGTTCTGACGATGAACCCGGATGCGCCTTGTTTACAAGCAGAGGAATGCACACGCATGTGTCATGAACGTGCGTCAAAGTCTGACATGGAAGAGAAGAAATTGTTGAATAAATTCATTATTTTTTGTTTTCTTTGTGCACAAAAAGTATTCTCGTAGCTTCATAAAATTCAGGTTGAACCACAGATGTCACATGGACTATTTTATTGATGTCCTTACTACCATAGTTGTGTTGCTGTCTATGCAGGGTCAGAAAGCTCTTGGATTTCATCAAAAATATCTTAATTTGTGTTCCGAAGATGAACGAACGTCTTACAGGTTTGGAACGTCATGAGGATGAGTAATCAATGACAGAATTTTCATTTTTGGGTGAACTATCCCTTTAAGTATCGGTCTTGACTCGGACTCGACCATCTTCCAGTCCTGATCTGGACTCAGACTCAACCCTCTTCTGGTCTTGGTCTTAATCCAGACTCAACCTACTCAGGTCTCGATCAGGACTCAAGACTCGAATGAGCTGGTCTCGACTACAAAATCAAGCTTGAGTTGATTTTACAAGAATATGAACTAATTTCCAATGAACTACATTTTGGAAGTCAATAAGCTGATATGATTAAGAAATAATGATGCATGCTTGCTACTATATATCAAGAAAACCTTCATCTGTGACTATAGCTCATGTCATGTTGGAATGATCACATTTTTCATTGTGGATGTTGATTGTACAATTTAATTTGGATGCATAAAGTATTGTGTACTATTAATGAAAATTAGAGATGAAGCATGTCAGAAAATACCACCTATTTAGCCAGGTAATGAAGCAGATGCTTTGCAGCAGTGCAAGAAAGACAAATACATAAAGCAACAACTACATACCTAAACTATCTTAATTTTGTTGCATTAGTGCTAAAATGCTTCCTTTATTTGTCAATAAGCCAAAAAGACAGGAAGAAATATGAAATTGCTTAACACAAGCATTTCTTCTGTCCAGATCCTTTTAAATGCACATTTGTGTAGGACGGATCTCAGGCTGCCTGGCGGATATCTCGGCATGGATGAAAGAACATCACCTACAGCTCAACCTGGCAAAGACAATTGTCTTCCCTGCCACTCCAACTCTACAGCAGGATTTCACCATCCAGCTAGGTTCTTCTACAATTACCCCATCAACATCGGTCAGAAATCTTGGTGTAATCTTTGATGACCAACTGACCTTCAAAGACCACATTGCAAAGACTGCTCGATCTTGCAGGTTTGCACTGCACAACATCAGAAAGATCAGGCCCTTTCTAACGGAGCATGCTGCACAACTTCTTGTCCAGGCCCTTGTCATTTCTAGGCTGGACTACTGCAATGCTCTTCTGGCTGGACTTCCATCAAGCACAATCAAACCTCTACAAATGATTCAGAATGCAGCGGCACGACTGGTCTTCAACGAGCCCAAAAGAGCCCATGTTACACCTCTCTTTATCTCCTTGCACTGGCTACCGATTGCGGGTCGCATCAAGTTCAAGACATTGATGCTTGCATATAGAACAGCCACAGGCTCAGCACTCGCCTATTTCCACTCACTACTACGAATCTACATCCCCTCCAGAAGTCTGAGATCCGCTAGTGAGCGACGCCTCGTGGTACCATCACAGAGAGGCTCAAAATCACTTTCCAGAACATTCTCGTTCACCGTTCCTGGCTGGTGGAATGATCTTCCCCACCCCTATCTGGAATACTGAATCCCTGACAATTTTCAAGCGACAACTGAAAACTCATCTCTTTCGACGCTACTTGACTTCATCCTAAATTAAAGAAAAGAGAAAAAACTTTGTCTTTCTCTTTATTCATTCCTTCCCTTTCTAGCTTGTATTTATTTGAACAATGCCTGAAACTTGGCATTACGAGCACTTCCTGTGTCTGTTTGCCTCTTTAAGAAGAATCGCTTTATGTATTCCCCAATTGTAAGTCGCTTTGGATAAAAGCGTCTGCAAAATGACTAAATGTAAATGTAAACTTATAAGGAGGACTTAAATGATTAAATTAGATTAGATTAAAAGCAGAATGTTTTTACAGTTTAACACAGCCTTATTGATTTTATAAAACAGTAAATTAAGGAAACATTGAAACATTATTTTATTAATCAAGTGCATTAAGTGCCATCCACAGAATAAACAGTCCAGAGTCATAACTGTTACTGCATCTGTACTTCAGCACAGCTAGAGTGCTAGAATCAGCATCCAGGACCGGAATGATCAGTTTTGTAAATAATCTTTCTTGTTCACTCGGTAGTCCAGTCTAATGCCATTGTCTGCGAACAGCCGAAACAAAAGCAATTTCCACGTGAACACAAGCGGCTTGAAGATGGTAATGAGAGGTTTGTTGAAAGAAATGAGATCATCTTTCCACAGTAACACATACAGTAATTAATACTCAGGAGTGAGTCTGCTTGTTGGAAAGGCAAACGCTGTGACAACAGCACTGGAAAGTGCTCCTTAATTATCGCTCTCTAGACCACTGCGACCACACATAACCACACCTTTTTGCCTAATTCAACGTGACCCCAGGAAACTGTCATACTAAATGGCGTCTTGATGTTTTGGTGGAAAATCAACATTAGGAAACATTAGGATGACGATAATAACGAGGCTTGTATTATTCACAAAGCAGTGTGAGTTTCACTTGAATTTCTCATTAAAACTGAGGAGTGAGAGGCTTAGTATTTTTACTTCCTGCTATGTGAGAGCCAATGACAGTCAGCCGAGTTTAATGAGCACCATCTGCATATCTCTGAAAGTAATTAGCACTCTCTTTCCACATGATGGCTGCATCCGAAAACTTAGGCAGCTGACTTGCTGCCTCGCTGCAGTATGAGGCAATGACTTTGCGAGCAGCGATTTTGCACGAAGGCACCTCATGAAACTGATTTCGGACAGGCTTCTTAGGCAGCGTTAATGGTTTAATGATCTACAACAAAATAGAACGAGTTTTTGTGATAACTAAACGAATATTTAATTACTATAATACTGATTTCTCGATAGAAATAACATCAAAAGTGCAAAAAGTTAGTTAGAAAAATACATTTACACACAAACTGACCACCAAACGCAACTTTCAGACGCCATCTTTATTTTTTAGCTCAACCGTCACGGAATGGAACGCACAGGATTGTGGGATATCAAAGGCAGCGAAGGATACATCTATGCTGCCTTCAAAATTCGATCAGAAGAAGGTACCTCCGGAGACAGGAAGTAAAGCAGAATTTGGATTTGGCCGTGCCTTGATGCCTTCCTGCCTTAGAATTCTGCCTCCGAAGGCAGCATTTTAGAGTTTTCGGACACAGCCGATGTCACACCATTAACATGCATAATGCATGATTCTGGATGCAGTATTTTTAGTGAGAGCGTTTTAATCTGCCAGCATGTACTTTGAGGTGCTTCTGCATGTAGTTGACAAATAACAAAAAATAGCCACAAACTTCAACATCAAGATTTTATATGAAAACAAAATATATAGAAAATACCTTGTACAAAGAATGTACAAGGGAAAGTATATATTTTAAGTGTTGTGATTGGTCACCAGTATTTTAAACAACTTTGATTAATTAATTTTATTTTATTTTACAGATTAGCCTTTAATTTATTTATTCTTTAAGCACGTTCATATTGTGTACTATTCACTGGTTCATGTTATTCCAAAAAAATGTCTTTCTAATCTTTTCATCTTTCTAAAAGTTTAAGCCAGTCACCTGAGTCATAAATGCTATGTGTCTGATCACTCTATATTAGAACTCCTTGTGGCAAATAGGGAATATAAGAATGAATACCTGGTAAAACTATAATATAATAAGTATTATTTTAGTATCATTGATATACTATTATAGTTTATGTTAATATTATGAATTAGATATTATTTGTATATTTTCAGTTTGATTTTCATTAAAGTTTTAGTACTTTTGTTGCATTTCTTTGACATTTTTATTCGTTTTTTAATTATGTGTATATAATTTTTTTTATTTATTGTTTATTACTAATTTATTATCATTTTTATTATCAATGTATTACTTTTATTTAGTTTTGGTTATTTTAGTACTTCAAGTTAATCTAAATGAAAATGATACATGTTGCCTTGGTAACTAGCTGAAATAAAACAATTTTTAAAAACATTTTTTAACATTTTATTTCAGTTCATGTTTATTTTGTTTTAATTAATGATTTGTTATGGTTTTGGTTTTAGTTTTAGTTACAATTTTAGTTTTAGTTGAAATTTTCATGATCCGTACACTGCTACAAGTTTTTTCATCAGAATACACAGCTACTTTTGAACTACCATCAGTTGAAAAACATTCTTTTTGTCCACTTAACAGTAGGATCTAACCGAAGTTAACCAGGCAAACCCCGACTACCGTTACTTTTCAGTCCTTCCCCTTCAATCCTTCCCCTCCATTCCCCCTTTATAAGATCCAAATAATTCCAGACAAATAATATCCAATCTCATTCTACAAGCCCATTCTTATGGTCGAATATCCTATTTTGCTCAAAATATGTCCGATTACTGAAGCACAATAGGCTGTGATTGGTGTTTGAAGTTGACTTTATGTGGTTCTGCAGCAGACAGGTGGAGTGTTCAGGATACCTGTTTGAAAAGGATTTTTATATCTCCAATCTCAACCGTTTTCATCTGATTGATGTGCATTTTAATATAAAAAGACATCATATCCTTGAAGTTCAAATTAAACAAATAAAATCTAGTGTAGCGTTAGTTCTGGCAGGTCACGTTAGTCAAGCTCGCATCAGCTGACTCTCAGCTGATGCTAGGCTGCATGGATGCGCAGGGAGTTCTTGCCCAGAACAGAACCATACCGCCAATCCAAACTGTATGCTAATTGTCAATCATCTTTGACAATAGTCGTCCTGACAGAAAGACAGATACCCGGCGTCAGTGTATCGATTTATTATTGCATTGCATTTCCGTCCGGATCTTTTCCCCACCTCAATTAGCTGTGCTTCTGCACTAAGCAGCTCTGACCAGTGCAACGCACTCTAATGTAGCCCTGAGCCATTTCTGACCACCCTTGACCAACTTTGATGAAAATATGACACCTTTGGGGAAGGACAGTGAGCGGAGCGAAGCAGCTCCATAATCAAAGGGATTATCTGACATGCGGGTTTGAGAAAGAGAGAGAGAGATGGGCAGACACCTACCTTCACAAGAGAGGCCATGAGAAGTGACCCCTGAGAGGCTGTCCCGACAGACATTACAGAAGGTAGGGCGAGCGTGGGAGCAGGCATACCAGTTGTGCATCCCTGAGAAATGTTCCACATTAAACTGTGCCGTCTAGCAAAGGAGAAGTTAAGACAAATTGGCAGTGCCAGGATAAGACTTTTTCAGAGCCCTTAAAATAAAGGCTACGTTTTTCAGCTCTCATATACACACACATGCAACACACACAGACTGACACACATTTAATAACCACAGGTGTACGACACGCAACCCTCCTGCATGCAATATCACTCTCCCTGACAACAGGTTTCCCCCTGCGCTTCCGGCATGGGCATCTACCTGCAGCACCCTGATGCAACAGGACAGTGATTTAAGAGGCCAGTTGTCAGTTTGATGTGTCTTGAATGTTAAAACGACTGAATAGGGAGGATGGTGCCCGCAGTCAGGGGTGCCAGCAGAGCGCTGGAGTTCTGGGTGTGGTATTGCAGAACACGGGGGCTGAGAGTCTTACATAACCATCTTCATCTCAAGTGAGCGTACACTCAACGCTGCAGTCCGCACATTAATTTACTGGTGTCAGATGCTAAAAGCCACCACATGCACACATGCACAATTAGAGTTGGCGAATTAGCAACAACAATCAGAGCAAAATTCCCTTTTTCCAGAACTATTTTTAAATGGATAACATGATATTTATGCATAATATTTCATTATGAGAGAAGAGAAGAGGAAATCTGAAAGGAGGTCTGTTTAGAAGCTGGATTTGAACAAACAAAGCATGTGGCGAAATACACAGGACCTGATTGAAAACAGTTAAGGGGATTCTAAGGCATGCATATTCAGCTTCTAATTTCCAAGGAAGTGTGTTTGAAAAACAACAAACGTGCAGAACGATAGTTCAAGATGCAACTCAAGTCAAACTGCACTCTTACCTCGTAATGCTCTCTGGACTGAACCGATTTCAGCGAGCTGATCCAGTCCTCCATTTCTTTCCTGTTCTCGGCGCACAGGATAAGCCTTCGGAACGGTGTAATTACCTACAGGGAGACAGAGATCCGGGGAGATGAGAGCGGAGCGTCTCACCCGCCTGCCTGACTGACTGCGACTGACAATGAGATCTCACCCTTCCCGCTCTTTAAGACGAGGCTCGGGACAAGCCGCCCCCACCCACCCCTCGCCTCCTCCTCGTCTCCTCTTTAACGGCCACCTCCACCCCTCAGGTCTTTTCCTCTCGACTCGTTTCGGATGCTTGAGCGAGATTTAGGCTGACAGGCGGAGTGCCCGAGAAAATGCTAAAAGCCTGTTTTATAACAGGGGCAGCCTCCATGCGAGTCAGCCTCTGCGCTTTTAATACCGCTATAATTTATTGATAACACCACCCTTAACATCTCCACACGCGGCAGCACGACAACTGTTTTCACTGCAAGCGCATGGTGAAGCAGGTGATACACTCTTGAGGGAATTACAGCTTACCACCTGCACTGCAACAACACCGCAGATTCCATTTTAAATCATTTTCTCATTTTGGGTTTAAAGAGACGAGGGACAAATTTAGGTCATTTTTTGTTCGATTTAAAATATTTTATAAATGCTCAATGCAAAATAGGACATTTGGTGCCCAGTTATCTCAGGATAAAACAGTGGGAATTCCCAATTTACAGTTTGGATTCTGATTTTCGATCCTCAGATGTTGCTCTTTTATAGCTCAATAGGCTTGACTGAGATCTGAAAATGAAAATTCTACCATCATTTACTCACCCTCGTGTCATTCAAAAGCTTAAGACTTTTGTTCAACTTCATCTTCAAATTAAGATATTTTTAATAAAACCTGAGAGATTTCTGTCCCTCCATTGAAAGATATTCCACCAAACCTTCAAGTTCATAAAGACACCATAAACGTACTCCATATGAATCTTCGGAAGAGACACAATCTCTTTATATGACAAACAGATTTAGGCTTTTATTCATATTGATGTTCATATTGACAAACAGATATTCATATTCATATTGACGAACAGATTTAGGCTTTGATTCATATAGGGCTCATTGTATGTGATAGGCAGAAGCTCAAATGTGCTTGCTTGATGCAAACGATGAGGTTCCCTTTCATGGGAACTTTGAACTGCGTCCTCTAGGGGTCGCTATGGGGGAACGCCTCGTCGTGACCCGTGTCTGAAGCATACATTGAAAAAACACCAACTCGTTGGCCGGCGACAGCCATGACGTCACTAC